TGGAGGAAAAAAAAACTTATTGTTCTGTCTTTCTTTCTTTCTTGATTTCCTTCATTCTTTCTCTGACTCTGGTGGATCTAAGTGCCCGATTTCCATTGGAAATACTAAAGCTATCTTTTGTGCGCTAAGCTAAGTCTCAACCTTTGGGTGGGCCTATACTCTTGCTGGCTAAGTGCAGCTATCTGAAGCATCTAGGAGAGATTGACCAGTCCATCAGCTCTCCGAACCCTGCACTGTCCCCTGCCTTAGAGTCAGAGTCTTCCCAGAGAACCCTCTACACACCTCAAGTCTAATCTCCCTCAGAGCTTTTAACTAAAGTCATCAGCATCTGGGTCAGCATTTAGCAAGCCATCCAAGCATGACTGGCTTCTTTCACAGAAATTTTCACTCACCATCAATCAAGATGCAATTTCCCAAGGTAAAAGAGGAAAACAAGGCAATCAGCCTGATAGATCAAAAGTGCCTGTCGTTATATGTAATTATTTGAATATGTGTAATGTTTGAATGTTTAACACCAGCAGAATATTTTAAAAGTTTGTAGTGGTCTATTTACATAGCAATTATCTAAATACATTTTAACTAGCCTAGATCAGTACAAACTATATCATCAGGATAACATCTCAGAGGCACAGTGTTTCAGACTGTGATTTTTATGATATATACCCATTTTGTATTTAACCCGCAGTATTTAAAACATTTGAAATATATATGGTCATAAAAGAACCACCTATCATAACAGTGATATTATAGGTGAAGGGTAAACTACCATTAAATTCAGGGCAACATTACTGTAGATTTTATTCCAAGTAATTCTGAACCACTTCTATACATCCATTCATCATGAAATGTGCACACAATGTAAAGGGCAGCTGGCATTTTCCAATGTTGTAAAAAATAAATAAATAAAATGAATAATGAAAAAAGGATACTTATGAGCTCATATTACACTACCTAAATACTGCTTCTATTTCTACAATAGCCTATGCTGAAATGCTCGTGTCTGCAGTGACTGTGCAGTAATAAAACGCATGTGAAGGATTATAGCGACCAGCGGCAGGTTTCTATTTTAACACTGGAGCCGGTGTGTCTGTTGGCATATAGAGTAAGTGTGTGGAAATGAGGACACGAACACTGAAGAAGTGATGAATTAGAGGATGTTGATCTATCAGACAAACTGTCAGAGCAGCAGCTGGTGTTTCACCAGGAAGCTGCCACAGCCCAGGCTGTCCGCTGCGTGGACCAAGCTGCAGAAATTCCACATTAGAAATCACAAACACCTCACTACACCACTGCGTTGGGATGTGCGCTGTAGCGTCTAAGAGGCTGGAGGGCCTAATAATAGCTATTCACTGAGGCTGTGTGGCCTCAAGGATTTTTGAAAATTAAACTCGGTGTACATCATCCAGAGCAATTACGATCCTCAAAGGCTGCCGGTGGGGAGCAAAAAGAAAAGTCAGTGTCTATCTCAACCAAGACATGCATGTCTTACATGTCCCTCTTTGAGGTGTGGATGCAAACACACTTGCACGTACACACACACACACACAGACAGACGGGCACTTCGGACACTGCCTTGGCGTTCTGGCATGCCTTCCTTGGCATGAGCGCTTGTGCATTTTCATCCGTTGGCTTTGGCATAATGCGGTGACATTCTTTGTTTGAAGGACACTGGCAGACATCCAAGAGCCTCCACTCACCTCTCGTGCCCTTTAATTGAAACCTTAAAGAAGTTCTCGGCACAAAAGCCCTCATGTGGGCTTTGTCGCAATTAGATTGACCAGAGAGGGCAGGCCAGCTGATGAAACAGGATTAGGCAGTAACGTATTGCCTGTATATTATTATATGCAGCTGTGATATGATCATCTGTGCAGGAATTAACAGGGATTGGTCTGCTGAGGATAAAGATGTGGCAGGCAAATGACAGAACAATAGAGAGGCAGGAAACAGGTGCCGGCTGACGGAAAGCCCAGACGTATTACTCGAATTTGAGTTTAAAATCAGGTGCAAGAAGAACCGTGCTGGCCCAAGAGATGTCTGAGGCTTTGGAGTTAGAAGCAAAAGACTGTACAGAGACTAATGGATACATGGTTTATAGTTAACAGAGCAGACATGGCCTCAAGGCCTTCATAACAAAACATCTCGGAAATGTTAACTACAGTAACTGAAATGGTAACTGCTATTCCAAGAAATTTTGGACCATTTCCGTTTGTCCATTGCTTCATTACATGCAGTGTAACGGGCAACTGTCATTTTTTAAATTGGGAAAAAAAACATTAAAAACTAAACTGAAATAAAAATTTTGATATAACAGCAACAATATGAATCACAGGTCCCTCCTGAATAACTCCACCAATTATTCAATATTTCTGCATAATTAAATTGTTAAGATGTGAACAAAGTCGTTCAAAATGATTTGATGTGAAAAGTTTAATTTTAGAGAAACTCTTCAAAATCGTTCACAGTGATGGTGATAGGAACCAGAGGTCAGAAATGTTTCATGCCTCTCAAAGCTACGTCACAGCAGCTGCTACACAAAATGGCTGTGAATACGCTGCCTCACAACCTAAATGCTGCTTTACAGTAGAACTGAGATAAGGTTTTGGTCTAAAAAATTATTTTGTTTAATGTATTCATTGGTGGATAGGTACATGCAGGACATTATGAGACAAAATAGTGAGAATAGTGACTTTATATTTTTAACATTTTTTTTTATTTACCACTAATTTTCCACTATTTTATTAACAATACATATAAAAATTCAGAACATGTTTAGGTTTTGGATAGCAACGATATAAGATATAGAAGATAAGATATAATGGCTATATGTGTATTGTAGACATTGTAACTCACCACTGTAAATTCTCTGTAAATTTCCCGTAGAATGGAGCATTTTACATCACTGCGCTCTTAATGACTCACATATCCATAATCGAATTATGAAGAAGTTTTTTAAAAATCGGTGAAATTCCCTTTTAAAACAAAAACACATAAGTCATTAATAATAATACAGTCAGACATCATGGATGCGTTGTTTGGATTACTCTACAAGTGTGAATCAACCTCTCTGGGTCAGTTCCAGTAAGGGAGGGATGAGGTCAGTGCTAAACTGTGAGCTCAGAGTTTATGCACTGGGCTATGCAGAGCTGTAAAGCTGCCCTGACCTCAACACTCGCACTCTTTAACACAGAGCATCCCCATAGCAGCAACACCACAGCTGGATTACTGCTGTAAACCGCAGATGTCTGTACATATGTCGTATCACCACCTTTACAGGAGAGCAAGAAAACATTCTTATGTTTAATGTACTAATATATGTTAATCCTAAAAAATAGACAGTGTTTTAGATCCTTTCTGTTGGTCCATTCTAAATGAAATAATCATATAGTGTAAAAGGCTGCTGGTGTTTTCAGATGGTGTTGTGAGGTTTTGACTCTTGTGTTTTTCAAGTCCATGATCATGCAGATCTGTCCAGCTACTCCTCCATGAAAGACCATGAAATGAATGTGAAAATCACTGCTTGTCTGCGCACAGAGAAATACAACAAATAACTGAAACAGAATATAATTGGGTTTAAATTGAGTCTCAGTTAATGAATGCTATTAACAGAGTCTGATGCAGAAAGACTGGCTTTTGTCTTCATTGTGCAGTGATGCCTAATGATGAGAAGTCTGATATGTCTACGTGTTTGTTTGACAGGTGAGTTTGAGCTGTTTTCTGAGGGAAGAGGCACAGGGGATGAGTGGATGAGAGGAGCAGACGGACGCTCTGGTGGGGCGGGTCAGCTGGTGTTGTGAATCAGGCCGCCGTAGTGAGAGGGAACGGCTTCTTCACAACACCAGGGTCACACCCTACCACACGCAGCACCAGCGCACACACACACGGGTCTGTTTTTGTACAATGTCAGGATGTGGGGTCGTACATATGTGCCACATAAAGTACACGTGCATCTGAGCAAATAATATCTGTTTATCAAAAATACCAGCATTAGATTAAAAGCAAATAAACAAATAAACAATACATTGTGATTAAATGAGTTAACCCAGGGGTGGCACAGTGTGGTCCTGGAGGGCTGGTGACCAGCACAGGTGATTTTGCTATTCTTAACACACCCACTAAACCTGGCAATTACTAATGAGTTGAATCAGGTATGCTTGAGTAGATAAAACAACAATCTGTGGTGGACACATGCCCTCCAGGACTGAAGTTCATCACCCCTGGTGTAACCAATTCCAAACCTCTCCTCAAGGATGTCCAGTATTTATGGTTACCTTCTAATACCTGCTTCATATAATCAGTCCATCATTACATGTACATGCGTACACTGACATTCAGATGTTTGGAATAATCATTTAAAAAGATCAGAATCAATGCTTTCAATAATATAAAACTAATTTGGTTATGGATAAAGGCTTTAAAATATGTGCAACTTCTCATGTTCCAAATAAATAGTAGGAAGCCAGAAAAAAGGAAGTTTCAGATGGATCCAGAATGAAGAACATACACAGAGCAGCATGGTGTATATGTATTGTTCTAAAATGACTGAGAAAGCTATATAACATCAATAATGAACTAACGCATAAATATCCAGAATGCCTTGTATTTAAATCTTGAAACTGAAAACTCATATTTGCTTAAGAAGTATTGTAAATAAATATAAAAATGTATTGAATATATATTGAGATATTGATAACAAAATCTAAAAATACCATTTGGTATCTAGTTTAAGTCTACATTGTGTAAATTGTTATTGTATATAATAAAATGACAAAGATTATTAATCTGACTTTTTTGGTTTAAAAAAATGAATCATGCAGCTTTTGCTTACAATAAATACTTAGAACTTTAAAGTCTCCATTTTGATGATATGATACTGTATGTTAAACTTGTTTTTTTCTGTTTTCTTTCCTGAAAATGTACAAAAGCAAAACAAAAAGATACACAGTGTTGTTTTGTGAATTCAACCCACAAGTGCACTGTTTCTTCACCACCACACCCAATAGATCCTGAGCAGTACCAACTGACGACACAGCTGAGAAGATTTCATGAGAGAAAACTGGACTGAAGCTGCACTCTATGGTCACATACACATTAATGATTTATTGCTCCGAGAATAGATTTATGGTAGATTCGACAATACAAAGCAAATATTCATACAGAGAGTGTTCATGATGTGATGATGCAAACCTGTATATAAAATGCAAAGGTATACTTGTATGTAAGATTTTTTTTCCTTAAGCAAAAATGTGATGATGCAATGACATTTTATCATTTTAATCTAAACTGAATGTAGTTAAATGGATAAGGAGTTTACAGAATGTTCATGTTTTTTAAACTTGATCCTGAAAGTTTAAATAAAAATAATACAACAAAGCTGAAATTCAGTGTGTCTTGTTTTTGATCATCACGTAGCAATCTTCATAAATCAGTGTGAACATATTAAGTGAGCCCTAATAATTATTATTAATAATGCGTCATCTCAGTTGTATTATTTATAATTTATTCATATTCATTTTATGTATACTTTTTAAACAATTGACACAAAGCAGTATAGCACTAAATATTTTTAGGCTATTGTTATATTTGAACTCCAGCTTTGCAGACTTTACTCTAATAGCACTTATGTAACAACCTAAATATTTCAACCCTAGTTGTACATTTTAATACGATAGTCACACTCTTGAAGTCAAGTCATTGTAATCCAATATTGTGACACTAAATATCTGCTTTTATTGCCAGCTTGGGGCAGCCTAGCACATCAAATTCATCCAAATTCAGCAGACATGACAGCACTTTTTGCCACAGTCCCACAAACACACTGAATAAAAAAGGGAGTCTACTTGCAGCCTCAACAACTTATTCACAAGCAGCTCAGTTTGTATTATCAGCAACAACAGTGGACTGTAAAGGCAAAGGCCACATTACATGTTTAATCTTAGAAGTAGCTTCTAATTCAGCACTAATAGGCCTACTACACCCACAGGTTATTTGTACATACATTATGAGATACAGAACACAAAAAAAGAAACAAAGAATGTGTGCCATTAGCTCCCTCTAGTGGACACAAACCTTACCCGAGTTGAGCTGTAGTGGCTCGCCTAATCCAGTGTGGTGAGGGCAGGAGGGAGTTTATCTAACAGAACATGTTGAGACACTAAAGGGCCCATATCATGAAAACCATGTCAATGTTTCTCACTTGAAATACAAGAATTAGTATGCAAAACATTCTGTTCACTCCTCAGTCCACAAAGTCCATATATGAAAACTAATCAGCAAAAACATTCTGTTTTTGAATTCACTGTTTTTGTGATGTCACAAAAACCAGAACATTTACATATTTCCGCATAGACAGCCTAAAGCAGTTCGGCCCCGCCCATTCAAGCTGAAGTTGGGCATAGTTGGCAAAGTTGAATAAGGCATGATACAAAGCAGCCGAATAAAAACAGGTCATTTACATATATTAGTTGTAATGAGGCAGTCACAAAAACAGTCTGGTGATAAAGAGAGGCTGGAAAATGGTTGTGTAAAATCAGTTATGACTAGTTTTGGTACATAAACCTACATAAATTGTAGGATATGGGCAACAGCAGGAGGGTAAGATTGAGCTTAAGGGTCTGCACACTCCTGCATACAAACTAATACCTCAATAATAAATTACTTTTTTGATTATTTTTAGACAACTGAAATATCTGAGATTGGCCTGCCTCGGAGCTTGGAGTCTTCTCTTTACTCAAGAAAATCAGCACATTAAACAGCTCAACCACCATGAACTTATGCACCAACAAATTCAGAAATAGACATTAGAGAAACATGTTTATTTCTGTAACTTTGACCATATTTTATACAACCCCAAATCAGAAAAAGTTGTGACAGTATGGGAAATACAAATAAAAAGGCAGTGATTTCTAGAATTCACTTTGACGTATTTAACTGCAGACAGAATTAACACAACATATTTCATGTTTCGTCCAGTCAAACTTATTTCATCTATAAATATACATCCATTCCTGCGAAATAATAATAATACAGTATTAAAAATAATTAAATAGTGATGTGATTTGAAACAAGTGATGCCAACAGCTGCTGGTAATCATGATTTGGCACAAAAGCGGCATCCAGGAAAGGCCTCACCCTTTAGGAGCAAAGATGGGCTGAGGATCACCAGTTTGCCAACAAATGCATGAGAAAATTATTGTATGTTTAAAAACAAGTTCTCAAAGAAAGTTAGATAGGCATTTGTATTTAACCCTCTACAGTGCATAACATAATTTAAAAATTCAAGGAATCTGGAGGAATTTCAGTGCCTAAAGGGCAAGGGCGCAAGCCTGAGCTGAATAACTGTGCTACCTGATCCCTCTTATGGCACTGCATTAAGAACTGTCATTCACCAATAAGTGATGTAACTGCATGGGCTCAGGATTACTCTAGCAAACCTTTGTTAAGCACTACAATACGTAGTTACATCCACAAATGCCAGTTAGGACTTTTCTGAGCCAAAATGAAGCCTTTAACTGTGTCCAGGAGCGACGCCGATTTCTCTGGGCTCGGAGGCATCTGGGATGGACCATCGCACAGTTGATTGTGGCCAGACAAATCAGTATTTCAGGTCTTTTTTTGGAAGAAGTGGACGCTGTGTGCTCAGGACCAAAAGGGAAAAGGACCATCCAGACTGTTACCAGCAAGTCCAAAAGCCAGGGTCTGTCATTGTATGAGGTTGTGTCGGTGCCTTTGGCAAAGTTACATAGACAATTTGGAGCAACATATGCTGCCTTCAAAGTGACATATTTTCCAGGGACGGCAATGCATATTTCAGCAAGACAATGCAAAAACACACGTCAAATGTCTTTGAAGTGTTGTGAAAAAGAATGGCAACATTACAAAGTGGTAAATGCTTTACTGTCCCAACTTTTTTTCAAATATGTTGCAAGAATCAAAATTGAAATAAATGTTTACTTTGAAAAAAAAACACAATAAAATTCATGAAGTAAAACATAAAATAATTTGCTGCTGTATTGTTTTTAATGTAATACAGGTTAACAACAATTTACAAATCACTGTTTTTTTTAGTTTCATTTCATTTTTTACATTTTAATTTAACGTACCATCACAACTTTTTCCAGTTTGAGTTATACCTTAGACAGTGCAGCTTTTGTTTTGTATTTTGCATTTTAATTTCTATTTCATTACTGATAAACTATATGTCCAAAAAAGTATCCAAACATCCCTTCTAATTAGTGAATTTCGCTACTTTAAGGTGAACCCATTGCACAGGCATTCGTTTTTGCGCACACAGCGTACAATCTCCATAGAAAAACATTGCCAATAGAATGGGACACTTTGGGGCGCCCACAAATTTTGCCCAATTGCAAGCGTTGGCTAGAGCGGTATAAAGCTCCCCCCCAGCTCTGGGCTGTGGAGCAGTGGAACTGTGTTCTTTGGAGTCATGGGGCTCCATCCAGCGCCTTTGGGATGAGTTGGAGTGAGGTTTGTGATCCAGAACTAATCATCCAACATCACTGATGCTTTTGTGGCTGGATGTAGTCACATCCTCATAGCAATGTAGGATAACGCTATGGTTTCAGTGAGCAGATGTCTACAAACATTTTGAACACATCGTAAAGAAAAGGCTTTGACTCTGAAATGCAGTCAGATTTGGGAATGCTGAACCAAGCCCACTGCCTGGTGGTTTAGTCCCAGCCATCATCTAACATCTTCATCTAATCTCCTGATTCTGCTGAAGAGTCTGATGATTTGGGTTGAGTGTGTTAGATCAGGATCAGATGTGAGGGGTGCAGAGTGTACTGGGTGAACTTTTGGGTTACACTCCTGTTTACACCACTAGATGTCAACAGCGCCACCAAAACAATGAAGAGGAGCCTCTGACTTTCTGTAAACGTGCTGTGGGTGTTTACTTGAATGGCATCCTGAATGAACCGGACCTGCTTCACTGATTCATTCTTCAGTTATCACAGGTGACATGCAGTAATGCACGGCTAAAGGTAAACATCGTGTAGTATTTAATTCTGTTCATACTTGTGCATCGGTGGCTCGCTAGCCAGCTGGTATTCGTAAGCAAAGCCATGCAGCTAGTTAGCCAGCTAGCTAGCGGGTTAGTTCGCCCTTGCCTTGCGTAACCTAGCTAGAGAGATTTCGCTATTGCAGCGATCTTTTCTTACTAAATGAGTGGAAAAAATAGCCCCATACGACTACTTCAGTTATCTGTCTGTCATTTTAAGCGAACCATATTCTCACTGTTGAGTCTTGCTAGCTTGCTAACTTTTACAACAAGTAGGCCAGCTAACTTTAAGTTAGGGCGAAATGTTTTTGTTGTCTGCTGAGTTTTGTCCCCCACATGTGATTGTGTAACACTGACCTTATAGCTGCTTCAGAGAGTAGGGAAAAACCCTCACTGCCTGTTATGACATGCTTAGATACTTTACATATAGAGGTATAGTTTGTTCGTTTAACTTGTTGATGATAAAATAGGCTGCACTGCATTTAATGTATGCGGTATTATTTTCCAGGGATGGTTTCAGAGCTTGACTACTCTCTCCTGCGACAGCTAAAGTGATGTCTGTGTCCTCCTTCCTGCGTATGAGGTTGGTTAGCTTAATCAACAAAGAGCACAATAAGTGTCAGTGATGTCTGCACATCTAGTTGCCAGGACATGGATTAATGGATTAAACCTAGTCTTAGACTAAATTTCACTGTCGTTGGAGAATTAACAGCGGAAAGTCGTCTTAGTCTAGGTTTAATCTAGATATGGGCCTAGTGTTTACCACGGCTAGACATTGCAAATTGCAGAAGAAGTGTCATTCCCAAATGCTTCCATTCTTAAATTATGTTTTCAAAAAAAAATCCTGGTTTAACCTGTACTGGATGTAGGACATCAACCTAATATACTGTCATAAGACTATTTTACTGCCCATAAATGAACTCTACTCCATTCTTCTGTTCTTCTCTTAGGCTTGGTGGCAGATGCTGTGCTGCTCAGATAGTTCAGAAAAGAGCTCTGTCCGGGGCAGACGCTGTTAACGCTCTCAGACCATTTTACTTCGCAGTGCACCCTGACTTCTTTGGCCAGCACCCGAGAGAAAGGGTATGAGACTTAAACCTGGTGTCAGTGGGGTTTTATTGAGGTGAATGCTGCCTAAGCATATTTAAGTCTATATGTATGTTTTTAAGTGTGCTTGTATCCCTCTCAGTTTTCTCTCTTTTTGTGCTCTGGTTTGCAGGAAGTGAATGAAAACTCTCTTAAACGGCTCAATGGCTATTTGGAGAGTCTTCAAAAGCCAGGCATGAGGTCGATCAAGCCTACAAAGCTCACTTTTTATGTCCGGGACACAAAGGAGAAAATAGACGATGAGAGTGACCTGATTCCCTCTGGTAAGTTTAATGTTTCCCTAGTCAGGTTTGTCTGATCAATGCAAAGTGCACTGCATTTTTTTTGCCATTTAAAAAGACACTTGTTTTACCCGTGTACCACATACCTTGACAATTGGACAGACTCTCTAGAACCATCTCAGTTACGTCCTACCCACTCTGACATTGTTGCAAGTGTCTCTCCCTATTAAATTTCAATGGTATGTCTCCTTGATAGCAAATTTACTTTGGGACACCCTCACAATGCCATTTTCTAACCACCCACTTTTCCAGGAGATTGGCAGAACTGCATTGCAAGTCATCATGAGATTGCAGTTATCTGTGCTCATTTAATCTTAACAACAAAAGCCGCTGTTTACACTGCTGTACAATGCATTGAAGCAGTCATTTGTAATAACATACTAAACAGTAGGGTTTGTGTCATCATGCATTGTAAGGTCTATTGGCCTACTACCTCATATAACAGCTTAATTTGTCTCTTAAACAATAAGCAATACTAATTTTGGTGTTCTGTCACGTTTCCAACCAAGAATGGCTGGTTTTATGATTCACCCTCATTTGGTGCTGTTTTGAGAATCATTCCAGCATGGTACAGGCTTACACAAAAGGAGGTGGAGTAGTAAAGGGGAGAGTTTAGAGGGCAAGATTCTTTGCCCTAGTCTGTGCTTCCCTCCCTTTTTCACTGTTCATTATGTTTCCACAATTTAGCAAATATCAGTAACTGCATTTCCATCCATAGGATTTTTGTAAAAAACACTAACACTAAGTTGGTCGATGTACACTATGGAAATGGAAATTGTTTGTAATATTTTATGCATGTTGACAACTTTTTTCAGTTCAGTTTTAGTGTAGAATTTGTTGATTGATATCTGAGATGTTGAGAAAACGATGCATTTCCACTTTGTGTCATGACAGATTTCCCTAATGTGCCTCTTACCTGAAACAGAAACATGAACAATATGTAGGTATATAGCTCAACCGGGGAGGAAATGAGAGCACTATTAAAAAGAATGCTGCAACATTTTAACACTTGCAGAGAGACAGATGTCCAGGAAAGGATATAGCCTTTCTAAATGAAAGGGCTCAGATGGTTTTATATGGCAGAGAAACGTGATCTCTTCTGTTATGGTTTCAGTGGAAAAAAATTTACTTACTAATCCTTATCAATAAGTTATGGGGAAGTCAGGGGGGGTCAAAGGTACTGAAGTTGTGACAAACATTAAATTAGGGATGGAGCACCACTTTGTTTTTAATCGATGAACCAAAAGTTTTGTGACAACAGTTTTTGCAGGAAATGATGTCATTATTTGAAACATTGTGTTGCAAAAAGTCAGTCTGATTGTATGGAGCTCCTAAGGTGACATAGTTATAATTTATTAATGAGGAATGGCCACAAATAAATAGTTAAGTTTCTCTTGGCCATGTGGCCTCAATATATTATTTTGTAAGAAACTTAACTTGTGGCTATATATTAATTTGTAGCCACGCCTTATTTAAAATAATCACCATGTCACCGATACATTTTCATTTTATTGCTTGCAGTTTGTACAGAAAGTCTGTGGAAACATAGCTAATATATGTTAATATGTTAACAATATAATATATGTTCTTCCGTTTACCAGGTTTCCGATCAGTGACTTTCACTCTGCAGTCTAAGGATGTCCTGAGTACAGTGATGGAAGTTCTGAAGTCTTGTAGCTTGTCAGTGGAACACATGCAGGGACTACTGAAAGCCAGAGCAGAGAGCCAGAACTCACCAAAACAAGGTGGAATTCCTTTCTATCGCCCCATAAAATGGGACAAGACATACTACAGCTTCACAGGGTTCAGAGACCCAGAGCAGGAGCTGGAGCAGGCCAAGAAAATGGAGACAACACTCAGGTACTCCAGTTATATTTACACAATCAAACTTGTTTTTCCTTTTCCTTGAAATCTCAACATGATCTTCTGTGCTGTGCCGTGGCATGGTTTTTCTAACCAAACTTGTCAGATCAGGTCAAATCAGATTGTAGCATACAATCCTGCTGTGCACACATTTGTTTTAAAAAAAAAATAAACATTTTTTTTTTTATTTGTCCTCAGTTTGAGAATTTATACCTGCTATATTTGAATTTCAGTAGTTGTAGTAGAGTATGAAAAACCTTTATTAACCCTGGCCAAAAAAAAAACCTATAATAGCTAACACATTATCACATACCTTATCATTGAAATGAGCTTTCGTCAGTAACTGGTACTAGTTAAAACATAACCTGGAAGAGCGTAGAACAGGTCTGATGCTGAAGCAGACAGCTGTATACCTACTTTTCTCTTTTGAGTTTGTGTGATATGAATAAAGAAAAGATACTTACAAACAGTGTGTTTATGCAGTGTACAACAGAAAAATGCTCAGTGCTCAAGACAGTGCTTATTTTTTGCCTTGCATTGACAGAGCTTCAAATGCCACTGGTACTGCAGGGCTATATCACTATGATTTGCAATATATTGTTTACTGTGCTCTGTTGTCTGTAAACCCAGAGCTAGTACTGACAGTAACTGTGGCACTGTGTTTAATAAAGTACTAACTGGGGCTTGCTGTCTTACAGTTTTTTATTTATTTTTTTTTAAATGAAGTGGTTATGAAATGCAGAATTAGTACCTATTATATAGTTTAACGAAGTGCTGCTCTGTCATTTTAGTCTGTGGCTAAGGAACAAGGAACCGGAGGCCACGACGAAGCAGAATGCGAGCGTGCCCCGTCGAGCTGAGCTGAAAAGACTGAAGAGAGAGCTCATTGAGAAACTGGGTCTGGTTGATATCAGGTCAGCTTGAGAGTTTTTGTGAAAAAAGTTCTTTTTTCTATGCATCCTTGACTGCCATTGGGTTGTTTTCCTTTAAAAGTACTTAAAGGTATGTGCTCTGTGTTCTGATTGAACAATTTGAGGCAGTAAAATCAATACCAATTCAGGTTAGTTCTGGCTCTGAACAGTCTTATTACAATGCTTAGACATGCACCACGATAGATTGACATGAATAAGTATGATGCACTGCTTATCATGATTTGGAAACTCCTCAGTGTGAGTTTAAACTTTGGCTTCCAAGTACAGCACTGTTCAGACAGGCACATCAGAAGGCATGAAATTTGCATTGAAATAGTTGCATGTTGTCTTCTGTCCTACAGGTGGCAGCGCAAATGGGGAGTTGCACACAGGTGCTGTCAGCTACAGAGTCTGTGTCGACTCGCTTTACAGACCCCAGAAGCCCTGCTCAATCTGAGAGGTACTGTGTCCACGAACGCGTTATATATGATTATACACTGTAGTACACCATAGTATACAGTATACGGTTCAAACATTTTGAGTCAGTTCTCACGTTATTAATTTTATTAAATAGTAATAATGTACCTTTGTTATCTATTTACAGTGACGTTTTAAAGTTTCCTGTTTTGAGATTTGATCATTACTTTTGTAATATGGGGCACTCTGGATATTAATGGCAATCATTTACAAACACGCACAGTTTTTCATTTACAACACTAGTTACCAACACATTAGACCTGTTACTATTACCTAATCGTTTAATTGCAGTTATTTGAAATGGTTGCAGTCATTTGCAGTCATTTTACACGGTCGTTACATTTCACAGTCATATTATGCAGCAGCAGACAAAAACATGAATTAAGTGCATTGGATTGAGGCCAATGAATGTAAATTAAAAAAGCAGTAAGTACATTCATTAAGACACACCTTATAACAAGATTATAGTATAATGTTTGTTTCTTTGCTGGCTGTGTAAGTAAGTCTAATGACTTTAGTATCTATGCTGGCAGAATAAGTGTTTTTTTTCTGCTTATATTTGCACTTTTGTGAAGAACATTAAGCTTTGCTTCACTTTACACTTAATTCTGTGTAACTGTAGGCATTTCTATGAGTGTGCCTAAGTATACATTCGACAGTACAATCAGTGTTAGCTTCTAAGTAAACATAGCAAGTAAGGTGGCTAATCAGCCAATCTGACCACTTTAGGTTTGTTTTTTAATAGTTGCATAGAATGAGCAAGAAACATCAATTAAATCAATAATCACAATTATTTATTAATTAATTGTCAGCTAAAATTGCATTGTAACAGCCCTAATTCAAATATTAATTAGGTTAAGATTTTTTTATTAGGCTTAATTTATGTCTTCCTTGACTGTGAGTGGTGTATTTGTCCCCTGTGAAACTATATGCTGTCACATGAATATTTATAAGAACAGATGGTCTGACTACTTCTGCCTTGGGTTTAACCTAAAAGATGAGGATTTAGATCCATTTCTGAGCCTTTTTGCTGCAGAAGGTTGCACTACAGCCTACCAGCCATTTGCAGGAGAATAACAGTAAATTCAATTGTTTGATGACTGATAGAAGAAACTGTAATTGGTGACAAAAGAGATTAAATATGTCAAAACTAAGACAAGAGCTAGACTCAAATAATGTCTTTTACATGAATGGTATATCCATTCTCTAAGATATAGCTATTCCTTCTGTCTGTATTTCACTCAGGTTTAAATGAGCTTAATTGCTAGAAGCAGAGTACTTCTCTTTGAATTAGCTTACAATAGGGAATCTAAGCACAGCCTCTAAAATATTTCTCAGTACTCATCTTTTAAGTAAATATTAGATGAACCAGTAGCGTAACTGCATCTAGGCAATCTTTCGACCTAAGAGAAAGAGAATTCAGCCAGAACAGCTTTGTTAGTTACATCTTGTAGCTAGGTAACTTTTCCTCAAGTGCAGTGATCTCTCCCGCTGTTTTCTTCACTCTCTCTCATCCCCCTCCCCATGCTGCGTTCATGTAGCAGTCAAATTAGAAGCATGTTGTTTTTTCAAAACAGATAAAAAAAAATGCTTAACTTTTTTTAAACAGTCAAAATATACTTAAAGGGTGTGCACTCCACTGACAGCTTTCACTATGGTTCTTTCCTCTCACAGTTGTGGCTGCTAAGCAACACATATATAACCTGATGTCTTTTCTTTCTGTAGAACTTAAAATGTATGGAGCACTTTGCACTGTGATGGTGAAATGTTTTCTAAAGCATTAAACGCTGCGTAGCTTCTGTAGGCTTTGCCTACTCTGTTCCAGTACCATGGCAGGTGATTTAGAATTTTAAATATTGAATGAGGAAATTGGATCTGATCAGTAGCAGAAACTACATTTGACGGGGGCAAGTGTAGACATGTTAATGTTAATGCCAGATGTGAACCTGGTCTTTATGAGTAAGCAGATGGGTCAAAGTCCATGCATAAGTTCTTTTGTTTACTAGTCCTTTTTAACCCACACAGGGCACACAGTAATCTTCACTGACCAGTCAGGGATGAACGCCTCAGGCCATGTGATGTTGGGAACAATGGACGTGCATCATCAGTGGACAAGAGTAACGTATTCATTTTATTCCACTTTATAGTACATAGTCAAAATACTCCATTCCTCTCTCTGTATGCTTATTAGTAGCTGGTTGTCAATGATGTTTGCAGTCTGGGACTGTGTGTTGCTCTTTGCAGCTTTTCCAGAGGTTGCCCAGTTACTGTAGTCTGTTCCAGCAGACAGTGTGGCTAAAAGACAGGATCAGTTTTCTTTTAGGAGGGATCCAGGTGATCCATATGGAGCGAGTGGGTCCTGTTCTGCCACTAGAGGAGCATTACAGCACCCTCAACACCTTCCACAAGAGACTGCTGCCCCACCGGCTCGCCCTGCACCCCCGCAGCCTGGAGGGCCTCACCATGACCCTGGAGAAGTAAGGCTAATTTAACAGTTTTCTTAAGCGATTGCCTGTTGTTCATAAATTCATCCTGTGTACCATTTCAGGTGCTAAAATATTCAGGTTTACACACATTTCCTTCTCATAATTTTGAGATGAGTGCTATTCCATAGACCCGAAACCATTTTTGTCTGATGTCTGAAATCTGAAGCTGTGGTCTGAGGATGTCCTAAATCTTACACAATAACTAAGTGGCCTTTTTACATAGGCATAGGTTTATCTTGACACAATGGCATTTACTGCCAAACATACATATATGCATGCATACATCAATATACATACATACGTACATTCATCTACACACACACACACACACACACACACACACACACATAAAAAAAAATTAATTAAAACAATAAAATAATTTTTGTTCATTTATTATATTAGTAATTAGAACCTTATTTAACAACTGACCTATGTGTAAAAAATCTTTATTGTGCAAAAAAAGCTGAATAATATATAATAAACTGAACAATATAAACCTGTGGTGTGTACTTGTAAGCATGCAGCAGCTTCTCTGGCTCATCATATATGGTGCTGAATGTCATTTCACACCCAAGTTTTGCAAGTCATTTGTCTGATATGTGCGTACTGTACACTCATGAATACGTGTTCTGAGCGACAGACTCTGCTAGAGTTTAGTAAATATTACAGCGGCAGGTGACCAAGTACTGAAAGAAGCCTGAGTCAGATATTCAGGTAAGGGGCTCCCGTTAGCATATTTACACTGTTTGTATGTTGTTAACTGGCTTATTTGTGGCATACCAGCAAAACAAATTGCTTAGGAAGAGATCCAGCTGGCATATCACCCACTGACTGTTTTCAAAATACTGGTTTTACAAATTTTGCAATGAATTTACAAATATTGCAATTTTGCAATATATATATATATATTTTTTACTGCTGCTTGTCAACCCACACCAGCGACATGTTAAGTCTACCATCAAAAGTGCTTTGTGGTATCGGTCATAGGTATGGTTATCCTCATCGCTGATACCAATTCTGCGTGTGTATGCCAGTATCGGCACAACACTAATGTTCACGTATGAGCATACTTGTGCCTTCTATGAAATAAATTCATATATGGGCAATTCTTTTTTTTTTTTTAATGCGGTGTTTTGAAGACCTGTCTCCTACAGTAGTGCATACTTATAGGTAGATCCCTTCATAAAACTTTAGGTAGAGTATTTGATATTTTGATTTTAATAACCTAAATCACTGCATGAGAAATACTAATAATATGCCCATACTTGGTAGGACGTCTCAATGAATAGGACAAATTATTAGAACATCGGTAGTGAATAAGTTCTTACCTTCATTGAGGCACTGTTAGTACAGTAACCATCTCTAACCATGACCAGACACAGGCCTGTTATGACCTTTCATACCTTTATTTACATTTTGTCATGACTTTAGGAACTGAAAAGGCTGCGTTTAGCTGACGACAGATTCAGCTTCTATATCTAATACATCTACACAACTAATATATCTTGCAGTCTAGTTTAAGAAAAGCTGGGAAGTGTGAATGCATGTTTCATACTGACAGAATATTTGGTGTTAATATTTCTCCTCCTGCTTTTCTTTCAGTAAATTATTTTAAATTACATTGCTTTTCTGTTGAATGCAGCAGCCTATAAAACGGTCAGATTCTGTAGATTTCACTTTCTGCTCACTGACTGAATGTACTGTTGGTGTCTTTTCTGCTTTGGACCAGTGAGTCCTCAGTGTTCAGCAGTAGACTTAAACTCCTCTGTACTCTGTGTTCTGTGATTGCCATAGTGACCGTTCCACCCCCAGACTCCATGAGATGGGCCACTTCATCATCCCTGTAATGTGTGACGCTGTGCAGTTGCAGAACTTCCTGCAGAGCCACGCCCAGGAGGCCCGCAGACGCATGCAGCACAAGGACCAGTAAGTGCTACTGTGGCGAGTGCACACTTACTTAAGCAAGCAATTTAACTTGTACTTCTATCATTACAACTGGAACAGAAGATATTTCCTAGTTTCATTTCAAATAAATGATAATCGTTCATCAATATCTGTTTGGACATAAAAATCAAAGATGCCATTGTATTTACCAAAGCTTTGAGAAGCATTAGAATTGTGGCAACTTGAACATCCCAAGATGAATCTTATGTCCAAATTACTGTGAATTTTTTGTTTTGTTGTTTTTAAGAAAGACATAGTTTACCCATTGTTTGCAAGGTTTGATTGGGCAAAATATCTGCCCAAACCTGACTCAAAACCTGGTCTAGGATAGCTGATAGCAGATTTTTGTTTTGTTTGTCAATGATCTGAAGACAGTGGCCTAACCAGAATTTACTTTTACAGTGGGGTGATTAGGGGGCCCAACTAGCAGGCATTATGCCCCAAAGAAATAACTATAGTGATAAACATAGCCTTGTTTGCTGCAGCTCCCATAACCAGAGAAACAAAAAATGAAATTTAATACAACATCCAATTGCTAACTTTGCATTCAACCTCCTAGCTGACAGCATACCACAGCTAATTAACCATGGGCCTGCCTTGTATTAGTGCAGTATGCATAGATGCCTGGGGCGAATGGTTAAGACCTTCTGGGTTTTTTTTGTTGCAGTATTTCCTTTGCAATATTGGATAGTATTTCATCTGCAGCGTTGTTTCCTTTGCCACAGTAAACTTTATTACTTACCTGGCTCGCTAACTAGGTGAGAGGGACCCCCTGTAGCTACACGCTTGTCTGAGGTTATCCAGAGCCAGATAGGGATTTAGAATTTGTGGGTCAGATCACATTTGGGCAGTATCTTCTGGGGCTATATTCAGGTTTGGAACAAAGATTCAGGCCCAGGTAAAGTCTATTGTTGGGTTACTTGGAAAACTACAAAGCTACTTTTCGTGGTTCAGCAGAATCCGTTTGTGTTCCTGCAGGTTGGAGGCTGAGGAGGAGAATGTGATGTCCAGCTGTGTTCAAGACCTGTCTCTGCGCAGTCTGTCCAAAGAGCCCAGCGTTTCTAGCAGTCAAATGATCCCGTGCTGCAGACGGTTGATGGAGGAGAGGTCTCCCCACATGCAGGGCCTGCACCTCCATGTCTCACACTTCTACTCTGTTATGCAGGATGGCGATCTGTGTATTCCCTGGGACTGGAAGGGCTGATGCACTCTCACACACTCGCAAATACAAACACCCTGTGAGTGCTTGGGCAGCAAGACCTGTAGGACTTGCAGCTATATAGATGTGGAAGGTTGTAGTGGTTTGCCAACTTGTATGTATATCATATAATCTGAATGCACTTTGGTTTCATGACTCAAGCAGATGGGAGGTTTGCTTTTAAAGCAGTCAACATGAAATACCAAATGAAGGGTTCTTGTGCCATAAATTAGTATATTGGTTATGTTGACTGTAAATGTGACTTTGAATTGAAGCACTAACACTAAGGATTGAGTAAGTTGCCATTAGCCACATATTGCTTTGGATGAGTCATTTGTACAGTCACTTTATTTACAGTCTCGCAGGAGCCTGGAACGGTTATTGGATGTAAAGTATCTTTTTGTTATGGACTTGAATTACCTTTCCATGACTCAACAGCGTGAACCTCTGTTCCATTTTAAATGGCAAATGACACAAGTGTTGGCCAAAAGGAGAAGGGAATAGCTGTTGAGTATTAGCACACTACACTGCCTGAATTTGCTGCAGACTATGTAATGCATCTGCTGTCCACTAGATGGAAATCAACTGCAGTCATCAGGAAACTTCACTAAAAGTGTACCAGAAAAACACCCATTCCACTAACAGTGTATTTAATGGTCACTGATTTTCAGCATTTCATCCTCATCATGGAATAATATATTTTGCTTAATATACTGTGAAACAAGACTGCAAATGGCTGATAACTGTGTGCAGAAAGCTGTGAGATGTTGAGCTGGGTTTGGACCCCAGCAATGCTTTTTGAAACTTTCAGAGAAGAAACAGTTTAATTCCTGGGACCTGCCTCTTAAAGCTGTCTCACTCAAGTAAATAAATAAAGCTTGACTGTGGGTGTGCTTTTAGACCTCACTTGGACCCACTTATAAACTGTATGAATCTGTTCCACTTAGTTTTCAATATGAGCGCACAAGTGGCAGGAAAGTGACTTTGTTTTAAAGTTACTCAGCTATAAATGAATTAACCAGCTGACATTGGCTTGGAGAAACTTGCCAAAAGTTTTTTTTTTGAGTAATGACTTTATAAGAAAGTCAGTGCTGCTCTTTATATTACCCCACAAACCATGGAAGGTGTTAATCCTATACAGTTGTATGCAAATGGTTCAACATCTTTGGTCAAATGACGTGTTTTGTTGATTTACTAAGTGAAAATATGTCATATCATCAACAGGCAATAAACTCAAATATGGCAGATTTATGAGTTTAATATATTGGAGGAAAAAAAAATACAAAATATAACACAAAATATAAAATGTGTCATAACTTTTGCACAGGCCACATTTTGTGTTTGATTTTTTTCCCCTTAAAATATTAAATTCAACAAAACAGTAATGGTGCATTTGAATCTGCAGAAGTGTGTTCTCTGTAGAGGATAGATAACTTATTTTCACTTAGAGCATCAACAGAATGTCATTTGACCTGGGGCACCCAAACAACTGTAGATTAGTCTTTATTAATTGTAAGTCCTGAACTGTTGTCATGCAAGATACATGGTTATATTTAAATCTTGTGTGTGTATAATGTGTTATTTAGCACAGTGTTAATGTTTCAAATGTTGTAACTGCAAATGAGTAAATTATTTAATCTGTTCTATCAGAGTTTATCAGACTAATTGGGGTTAATAAAGCCGTATTCTAGTACTGCCTTATTTGTTATTTTTTGGGAAATCTCGGAAAAGACTGCTACTCCACATTTCTAGAGAGAAGTAAATTATATCCAACCAAACTGATTTTAGATGTACTAATCCATGCCAGTGTTTGTCTAAGGGAGAATCAGAAGTTAAAATGAAAATTGCTTATGGAAGGGTGAATAAAATGTTTTCATAGGGCAGTATAAAAAAATGAACGGGCACGAATTCAGGTTTTCCCTAACGTTTACAGCTTGTAGTTTTTAACCTTTCCGTACAGATCTACTTAATTTCCTTTCTTAGTAGCGACTACAGGTGTTCTCAGTAATGTGCAGGTCCTGTGTATTCTGCTGGTAAAAGTAGTAATGGCTCTGTGTGTTCTGCGTGAGCCAGTGTGTTTCTTTTTAGTGTTAATCTCTTTTGCCTCTCGTTCATTTTAAAGTAATAGTAGGTTGTTCAGTTACTGTGGAACCCCCTCTGAGTTCAAGTGCATGTCTGACAGCAGTGGCATTAAATCTTGAGCCTCCTTGAACTCTGTGACACACAATAGTTAGCGTGCATTAGGGTCCTGTCCAAATGACACAAAAAGGAACACTTACGTTGAATTACCATGGGAATCAAGTCCATTCCGTCCATTCTGCTGTACTGCCTGGAAAAAAAGAAAAAGGAAAGAAAGAAAGGGGATAGAAAGAAAACACATGTAGCACTTTAAGGAAACCTGCAGCTACACGGCTGCATCATCACAGACCACTTAAATAAAAACTGTAGAGAGTAGTATTGGGATTGTTACATAGAAATAGAACATTTGTCTTTGCCGATGTGGCCTGAAGTCAAGTGCTGCAACAAAATAAGAAATCAAATATACAGCTACAGGAAGTGTAATGTATAGCAGACAGTAAACCACATTCTCACAGTTTACTCCAGTTAGGCCTAAGGTGGGCCTATGTACAGCCTTAATGCCTGTAATGTCAATTGTACAGCTCTAAAACAGAAATGGTCTCTGGCAATACTGAAGTTTAGTAGTTTGTTCCATTTTTAATTAATGCCCCATCAGTGTTTCTAATTGATTGGGGTGCTATTGTACTTCTGTCAGACCTGGTGCTGTATTTCACTTTAGTGCCTCTCACTTCATTTATCAGGCTGCACCAGAGAGCTAAACAGATAAAAAAATGTAATAAACAATGTAATGAACTTGAGCCAACTCATCGAAAATCATCTCACAATGGCTAAACTGCAGCTGCACTCTTTGGTTTCAGGCTGTGTCTGATGTCTTTTGTTTTCATGGGACACAAAGCCCAGAAAGGGGATGATTTGTGGATTATTGTTACATTTATACAGTAGATTCAGTTACACAGAAAAGGAAAATGACCGATGGACAGGTAGCCTAACTCCTTTTTAAATAGCCCCACCCTCAAATCCACATTTCTGTTCTAGCTCTGAACACCTGAGCCAGGTAATCAAAGGGTGGTTCAAATGTGCAGAGAGATCCTCCAATGAGTTTGTAACCTCATTGTAACTTCACTAAGAGAACTCAAAAACTTGTAAAGCCAGTTTGAACCTCTAGATGTCAAAGTGAGCCAGATCTATTTGAATCTAAATGTATATGTTTTCCACCTGATGTTTGGTACGGCCTGCGGTTTCTGAACAGCAAAGTGAAGTTGGATTTATATTGGAAAGAAACTGGATGCAATTAGTCATTAGTTACTATAGAGTAAAAAAAATATTTACCTTTTTTTCACTCAAAGTGCCTCTTACTTAGCATTGATGAGCTCTTCAGATATTGTAAAGAACAAATATATCATCATGGTCATCACTGTGTCTCCATTTTTTATTTTTCAATTTTCTAAATCATTTGAGCACAGCAGCTGCACTTTACATTGAGTTAATATTTCATGATGAATGGATCAATAGAAGTGCTCCAAAATTGCTTGGAATAAAATCTCTTTAATTTACATTAAAAGTATTAAGGTTTTAGCCTTCTCCTGTGAAGTTCCCATATTGGAGATACTTTTTTGCACAGCAACAATATATAGACCACAACTTGTTGTGATAAGATTCAGTTCAAATTTGAAGCAGCTATAATCAAAGATAAGAATTTCACTAACCAAAACAGCAGTCACACTTTATCACCTTTAAGCTGTAAACATTGTTATCTGTACTCTTATCTAACCACTGATAGCAGTCATTTTCTCCCCGGTGTGCTGTTGTGTGCTGAAAGCATGCAAGTGAAGCATATTTGTTGTTGTTTTTTTGTTTTTTTTTATCTGAAATATTTTATACAATGGTACATTTATGCTACAGAAACACCCCAAAAATGCTGAAGCTTTGACATGATTATGATTAGATTAAAACACTGCATTGAACAAATGTTCTTTCTTTTTCCCTGAAAAGGTTCCGTACTGGAAGTATAAGGTTTTGTCATAGAGCCGCGTAATGAAAATGACTGGATAGGCGTGCATTGTGAGCCACCTGAGACAAAGGCTTCAGTTAACCCAGTGAATGTAAATGTAAAACATGGCTGATACTGTTCCCTGAGGGAATACCGCTGACTCTACTGCCGGTTGCACTGTGGCAGCTTGGATACATGGACCACATGTGGACACTCCCAAACGGCCCCTTTAACTACAATCTCACTCCGAAATAATGCACATTTGTTGACTATAATCAATTTGTTTTTGTTTCATTTACAATTTTATAGTTAATGAAACTGGAAACCAACTAATTGAACATTGTTTTCTTTTCTTCCCAAATGATTCCACAAAGTTCCTAACAACAACAACATGATATTGATGAGATTTCAGCTGTGTTTGAGTATTAGTGGGCTGAATATATTATATATTCACTATTTTAGACCTTTTTCTACATGAATTCAATTGGAATGTCTTTTATAGAATTATCCTCCATGGATGCTAAGTGAAAATGGCACTCAAAAGGACTGCTTGTTTCCTGTATCTAAAGAAGAACCAGCACCCCATTATACACACTCACTCACACACACACACACACACACACACATACAAATGCACACAACCCCCTCACCACATTGCCTGTGGTCATTTCCACCATGTGACATGACCCTTCCCTGGTTTGCTGAGTTTTGCAGTGCCCCTGCCCTCACCCCACCCCCATTCCGGCCTTTCCTCATGAAGATCAATGAAACGTCCTTGGGATGGCCAGAGCCTCCGAGCAGAGTGACCAGCTTCCACTATCCTTAATCCAGCCCACAATAATGGGGGTCAAAGGGTCTCTCCCGGAACCCTGTCATTCAGCCAGGCGTCCCACTGCTTTATTGGCCAGCCCGCATCTGGAGTGTAAACCCCACCGAGAGGCTTCCTCCTCAATCCCCAAAGCAACACTGACACCCCATCCTGAGAGCCTGTAAATGAGCTCAAAAGCCAGTCCTACATGTGGTATCTATCTTTTACATCAGGGGCCGTCACTGCAGCATTACAAAGGAGGGGGCTGGCTTTAGGCTTTATGTTTGGGTTTTCGAATGACAAAATTAAATGCTTTTGTTCTGTGAGTACAAATAATGAATACAAAAGCATGTGAAAAGAGAACAGAAATAAATTGCAAGTGTATTACAGGATAAAGTTTAATACTAATACAGTCCATATGCCTATAATACCAATACATTAACTTGTAATTTTCACTGCACTGTGTGAAAGAGATGACACGGGCCAATATTAATGCTGTACTATCGATTCTTTTCGTTAAATCGGTCGAACCGATTCACAAGCACAAATTAATTTAAGCTTTTTTTGTCGTGTTTAATGTTACAGCTGAAGACATTTCAGATATTTATTGCACAATATATGATATAAATTTTAATACAGTCATACCACATAGCAACATATATGAACAGACTCATTTATAATCGCTGATATTTGGCGATTCTACGGTTCTACGATTCTGCGAGGAGGTCGGGTTCTCTTTGTGAGTCTCGGCTCCTTTCTGTGTTTGCTCCTCATGCTCTGAGACTGTTGTTCCTGCTTCTGTCGTCCATGCTCAGTCCAGATTCCTGATCTCTGTTGTAAAAATCTATACAAATAAAACTGAATTAAAATGGATTGAACTATATTTTCTGTTTGTTTTGTGTATTCGCGTCACAGCCCGATTAATACTCCACTAGCAAGCAGCAGATTAGACTTAAAAGTCGTTGTATATGGAGGAAAAAGTTGACTTGGTTCGTTATTATGGGCCCCTGGCCTCCACTCCCATTCCTACTCCTCCTCTCCTCCTCTCCCCACCGACCGGGTACGAAAATGAGCAGTCGAAACGACAATTCAAAAGAATCGGCTCTGTGAATTGAATCGAACCTCCCGCAGCAACGATGAGTCCGAAAGAGTCGGTTCAGCAAAATGACTCGATCGTCTCTCCGCTACGGAGAGTGGGCCGCTGCCCCGCCCCTCCCCCCGCGCCCCTCCCCCCCTCGCCGCGCTGGCCTTGCCCCCGTGAGCTCAAGCGGAAATGTGCTTCAGTCTCCCAGTGCGGAGTCATTTTTGCTCGATTATGCTCTGCGATTCTCATTACATGGACGGAACGGCGACCGAAAGGCACGGAGGCTCACATGGCGTCGAGGACGTGCGACCTTGAGAGGAAAGCTGGAAGGGAACCAGCCTGTTTGGACGGCCCGTAGGGCGACGCTGAGACGGGGCTGCGGTGGCTTAGCTGCCGTTTACCGAGCAGTGGGGAACGGAAAGCTCTGGAAGAACGGAACTCTACTCTGCGCTGAGGGAGAAACGGTTCACTCACAGAAGTAGTTAACTATCCGCGAGTTAAGCCGAGAAGGCGAGTTTTTTCGGGGCCTAAGAGGGAGCTGCTAGCTCCAGAGCTACATGGGCTGGAGTAGTTCGGTGAATTATTTAATCTCCTCCAGCTCCGCGCCTCACACAGCCACCCGGAGGGACGGCGCTCGGAAACATGCGCGGAGGGAAGACGAGGATTAAATAGACCGTTTCATGGCTTTGGGTTTGGGACGAAAACCAGAAAAAAAAGACAGGAGCCCAGAAAGGTGCGAGCGTGTGGCCCGTGTGGAGGAGTCAGAGGAGTCATGCGGCGGTGGGGGAGGATCGGAGCGGGGAGCTCACTCACAGCAGTAGCAGGAGCGGCAGCCCACCACGCTAATGTAGGTCTCTGAACAACAACAACACGCCTAGCATGTTCCGCTGTTACACGTTTAATGCGAAGGAGAGGCTTCTAAACACATTCACTCGAGTCCTTACAGGCAGCTAAGTTAATCCGCCTCAGAGTTTATGCCAGTTGCACGTTTCACTTGAGCAAGATCAGAGCTCTCCACCAACAGCCACAGCACTATCTGACTGAAGTTAGGCTAGCAGCTCCACAAACACGCGCGCACGCGCCAGTGGTTTGTTTGGTTGCCACAGCTAACAGAGACGCTGGTAACCCATCGCCACTCTGATGATCTGATAGACCTTATCATTCACCATTAAGCCTAACAATCAGGGCCAAATCCTCGCATGTTTGTGTCTCCTTAAACGAGTCCGTGACCTGACCTGCGCTCAGAGGCCCAGATGGCGTCGTTTCCAGATTCTGACCTGCAGACATGCCCCCTGTGTAAGGAGCTGTGTGGCTCCTCCGCTCCGATCTCCTCCAGCTCATCTACCTCTTCATCCTCCTCCCAAACGTCCAACTCCTCTACCTCATCCACCAGAAGACTCCACGTCCTGCCCTGCCTGCACGCCTTCTGCAGGCAGTGCCTGGAGGGCCTGAGGAACAACGGCGACCCCCTAAAGCTCCGATGCCCGACTTGTGACCAAAAGGTGGCGATGTCCGAATCCGGCGTGGACGCTCTGCCCTCCTCCACGTTCCTGTTCAGCGACCTGCTGGACGTCGTAGGGTCCGCCGAGGAGCAGGGCAAAGGGAACAACTGCAGGGGCAACGGAAACCCTCACGGAGGGCTCCTGCGCGCGCACCACCTCGCGGACCCTCAATGCAGCTCCTGCGACGAAGGCAACCCCGCTACCTCGCACTGCCTGGACTGCCAGGAATACCTCTGTGACAACTGTGTGCGGGCCCACCAGAGGGTCCGCCTGACCAAAGACCACCTCATCGAGAGACGGATGGAGAGTTTGCACCTGGCAGGCCGAGCTAACAGCTCCAGCACTCCGCTCAGCCTGTCCCAGTCGTTCCACAACTTCTCCCTGCTCCCTGTTTTCCACGATCGAGTGGACTACTGTCAGCAGCACGACAACGCGGTGAGCTGTGCATTTAACTTTACTTTAATAGCTACATAAAACATGCCAAAGGTTTGTTTAATGGTTAAACAGACGTTTAGCAAATTAAACTAGTTCCATTCAGTCTTTCTATATGTACTTTATTTGGTTTGGACACTTCATACACTGTTTTTCCCTGTTGTGACTAATTAGTTAAACACAGAAGTAAACACCATATTCCTGACAGTGTCCCTTAAAACCTACAACAAGGATTCCTATAGAATTCTTTCAGAATAACATGCTTGTTAAATTCTATAAGAATCTGTACAATTCTGTAAGAATATATGCCTATAGAATTCCATAAGAATAATGTGCATGTAGAATTCTGTAAGAATATGCCTATAGAATTCCACAAGAATCATGTGCATGTAGAATTCTATAGGAATAATATGCCTATGTAATTCTATAAGAATCACACTGGTGATGATGTAGACCTGAAAAGCTCTGAATAATGACTGTCAGCCTGCTGTGCCTCCTCAATAGAGCATATTTTGCCTGCAAAGTAGCAACAACTTGCTCTGCCAGAAATCCACTGTCTCTGAGCCACACTGACAGACCGTTTCACCATGCTCTGTGCTGCTTTACTGGGCAGCAGTGGCTGAGTGCTCAGAAGGACATCACAAACCAGAAGGCTGCTTATTAAAGTCTCAGGCAGGACATCACAACTGCAGACTCATTGCTAGGGCTCTGCAGATTCTGTTACCACCAATATGTCTTTCCTCTGACTGCTGTTGTGCATTTGAGGAAGACGCTGTTCTCAGTTGTTTGAGTTGTAAGAGTAGAAGAAAGTGTGACTCGAATCCTGCCTCATCATGTATTTATGCCTGTTTTATTTACTAACAGAAAAGGACAGTCTTTTGTTTGCAAATGACTCACTGTACTCAAAAACTGGAGGGTCTGCCGAGCTCTTTGCAGAATTCTAAAAACCTTATATCTCCAAAATGGTAACTTTACAGGAGAAGGCAAAAATATTCTTAGATTGTAATGTAAGTTAATGTAACAAGATTTTATTTTCCCAAGAGAACTGAACAATTTCTGTTCGTTCTTGAAAATGTAACAATACAAAGAGGAACTGAAGTTTTTAATTATGCAAAAAAGTAAAAAAATGACAGTAATGGAGATAAAAGATTTTTGCATGACAGACATTTTTTAATTTTAAAATTTAAAAATAATCTTACATAACACCAGTGTCATGTCAAAACCTGGTGACCTGGGCATTTTTTATTATTTCTCTCCTTGAAATGACGTTATGTAAACATTTCATGATGAGTGGACCAGTACAAATGTTCCAAAGTCATCAAAGCATTAATGTTCAATAAAAGTTAAGAACATTTATTTCTCTTTTATAGGCTATATCTGTTTTTTTGGAATAGGCCCCTCAGAATCATTACATAATTGTCCCATCGCAGTTAATTTTCACAATTATATTTTGTCACAGCAAACAGAAAGTGAATTGGGTGTGTTTTCGTAAGTTGAGTTGAGGCAAACGCATGTAAATAGAAGAAAGCAGAAAATGCATTTGATGAGAATTTATTGAGTCATGGGTTTTTAGGAAAACAACAAAAGCTGTAACTCCTGTTGCTATATAGACGCGGACAATGTCTAAGAATAATTAGCACAATATTTTCTAGTTTAAAAAAAATCAAGATTATCAGTTATGTAAACCATGTAGTAAAAACAGTAACTTAAGCTGTACAGAAAATACTATGTTTTTCTCAGAAAGTAAATCACACCCACAGTGAAACCCACAGTGGAGACAGTGGGGAATTTGCTCTACTCTAGCCTAACAGCTTTTAAAGGCCCCATAACAACCCAGATGTAAATAAAACATTTATGTGTACGTTTAATCTTATTTGTTACCTTTTCCTAATGCTCTTTCATTGCCGCAGATGGGGATCAGAGGAACTTTCTCTCCTTCTAAAGGTCTCAGGTCTAGAGCTAGCTTAACTGCTCTATGAAGCAAGAGTTAAAGCTAATGTTACGGTGTGTGGCAGAAAGAACTGGGCAGGCAGCTCCTTAACAAGCTTCTCTCTCTCTTGTAAACACAAAAAATAACTTGACTGTTGGGGTGCTTGCGTGCACACTTCTTAAAGGAATGTGATCCCCAATTTCCCAACATAATTCACAAGCAAGTGATTATTGCCTTTTAAGCATCGTCATTGTGTTACTTGTCAGTTACGTACGATATCCAGTTACATCACCCTATTGCCCAAGCCTAGTCAAGAACACCTTTAGAGGGTGACAGTGAGTAATGTTTGTTTATTTGAGCTTGAGCTGTTTCTGTCTAGTTTAAAGCTATTAAGTATACTGAATTAGGAGGCAGGATAGCTGATCGGCTAATTCGGCCACTTCGGTCTTGTACTTTAAGAGCTGCATACAGTGAACAAAAGGACAATTAAATTTTTCCTTGCAGTTAATTGCATGGCAATGAATTGTCAGTTAAAATTTCATTAGTCATAGCCTTGTTTTGGAGGTGACAGTGTCCTCAGTCCCATAGTTTTTTGTTTCTTTAATTTAACACACCTGTTTGAACCCATCTGGTAATAATTTAACCCAGTAGCTTCTTTAGAAAAGGAAACCCCAGGAAAAGTGGGACTGGGATTGGGAACCTCTGATACATTGGCTAGTATTAGATCATCAAAGGGAACATGTACAGTACTGTTAGTGCTGTGTTTCTTATTTTAAGTGGATATAGTGACTAAAAATTGGCAGCAAGTGTAATAACAGTATAGCTGACTGCTGCTCTAGTATTAAAAATAAAGAGGAGTTTTGTATGTATGTGCAGGCGTATTAGAAACCATTGCTGTAGTTGAGTGGAGTTCCAGTGGAGAAAAACAGGAAGCTGTCGGAATGCCGTGGCATCAACTCCCAGTAGCTGTAGGGTTCTCGTTCACATCTCTGCACACACTGCACATTCTCTGTGTCTCTGTCCCTGTCTCTCTCTTTCTCTGTCTCTCTTTCTCTGTCTCTCTCCATCTCTTCTCTCTCTCTCTCTCTCTCTCTCTCTCTCTCTCTCTCTGTCTCTCTGTCTCTCTGTCTGTCTGTCTCAGATATTGTACAGTGCTATCTCCAGACCAGAGAGAGTTGTTAATTGTTCTGTTTAAGAATATTGATACATTGGGTGCACATGAATTGACAACAATATCTGGTACCACTGTAAGTAAATAATCCTTTTATTATGTGCTAAAACAACTATGCAGCCTCATAAACATCAGCCCCACAGAGCAAATAAAGATGGTAGACATTTTGACCAATCCTGCTGTGCTGCATCAGATTGCTGTGCTTTATGCCTGTAAATCACTATGACTTCTCCTAGGGCTGAAAAATTACTTTTTTATATCAAAATTGCAACTCAGAACAGTGCAGTTTTCAAATCACAGGAGCTGCATTTTTTTAATTACAGCCTATATTATCAACAATGTTGTTGTAACAAATGAGTTAGACCAATCAGAAGGAACCAAACTCCCATGTGCTGTGACATCACAGCTACAACTAACTGGCCATCTGGCACACTGTGCTCAGGCTTGAGCCAGAAAAAGTGTATATTCTGACTTTCACCTTAATTCATAGAAAACCGCTTCAATTTGAATTGCTGTCAAAATCACAATTAGATCGTTCAGCCCTTCTTCCTCCCTTTATCTGATATTCTTGTATCACAGTGATGCTGTGGGTGTAAAATAGTAGAATAGTAGAAAGTCGTTAATGTATTTCAAATGGTGTCATAAAGAATGGAATGTGGTTCTCTGATTGTTGGGTTTGCACAGCTTTAGTGCTCTGGTCTGGTAAGAGTGCAGGTCTGGCCATTAGCAGCCTTTAGCACTGCCTTTCTGAGAGCGGTGTGTGTCTGTCTGTGTGTGTATGAGGGAGGGAGAGAGAATTTACAGGTGAAAGGTCAGATAATAGTGTGTGTGAGCACAGGGTCAGGGGCCAAAGTCCGTCACCTTCCAACCTTTTGTCTTTTTTGTTGAAGTCACTGGCTTATAACAGTAACATCAGCCTCCAAGGCTTAAACTTGCCTGTAGATCTGTCCAGCTCCTAATTCAGTGTTCTTTAAAACTGTGACCCATAAAATACATCGTACAACTTAGTTTTGAAGTTCATTTCTTTTTTGCTCAAAATTTGAGATTCACATTGTGCAGTCAAGTGCATATCTTGAAGAACACACTTCAGTGTGGCAGTTTTCTGCAAATGTTAGAGTATCTGTGTATTTACTGAATTTAACACTAAAACACATTAAATTTGCCGCAGCCTTTGTACATTTTATGGTTTTTTTTGTATGTTAAATTCAGCAAATTAAACAGTAATTAGTGTGGGGCTAAACTGATCAGGCAAATATATGCAAATACAAAAAAATATGTTTTTCAGCTTAGTTCCTATAAATGCAGTGTGTGGCACTGCAGGTACGTTTTGACATGTCCACATACTGCATCAAAATCCTTATTTAAAAAGTGAGCAATTTTCGGTACCATTATGTTTTTTTGTGTGTTTATTTTTTTTTTATAAACAGCTTTATAATCTCTCAAATCTTTTTTTAAAGCTTGCTGTGGCACTTGGCTCTTGTCCTGAAGATTAATATTCAAGGCATTTTTATGCCAAATTCCTGACATTAAATCTCCAAGAGGAGATTCCAAGAGGTAGCGCTGCTCATCACTTGATTACTGTATTAGACCAAATTACTGTACAGTATTCTTTTCTTTCTGACTACCTTGGAAGAACCATGTATTAAGAAACAGTAGTTTGAAGTACACAGATATTTTCCTGCAAACTGAAAACAGTAAAGTTGTATTTTTTCAAGAGGTGTCTTACAGTCAGTTCTGTATAGTGTTTCCAATTACTAATAGAGCACCACGTATACCCATATAGATATGATTGAGTATGAAATGCCTGTGGTTTTCGGTAGTGGGAAAAGAATGTGTTAAACATTTTACAGGCAGTTTTATAATCCTGTTTCTGCACTCCTTTTTGTTAATTAGTTCATAATG